ATCCTAGAGCACAGACTTCTGTTAATGCTTTCCCTGGAAGAGTTGATAGATCTTTGGGCAAGTTTCTCTAAGGACAATGAAACTGCTTTGGCAGGAGAATTTCAGAAGAGGATAGAGATGCTGATAGAGACCATGGCAGAGCTAAGTCAATTTGATGTTGATGGTGAGGTATGGTGTGGAGGTCTCAGTCTTCTTTCTAAATGTGGGGTTTTGCTTCTCAATGTTTAGGGAGGTTTGTTGCAGATACATATGATTGTGAGTATGTGGTCTGTTGAGATGGGAGGGCTGATTGTGGTTAACTAAATGTATCTTTCTCCCACCTCGCTTGCAAACTAGTTCCATTGTCTAGACAACAGTCTATGCTGACTTAGCAATGATACTGTGCTAAATAAAGCATCCCCATTAGCTACTCTCCCTCCTGCAGTTCCTTCTGTGTCTTTCAGTGCACTGAAGCATAGGTAAGGAAAGAAGAAAGGTCTGTTGACTAAAAGTCAGGATATCCTCTGGGACAAGGCTAAAAGTATTATAGTTTAATTCAAAACCCACACAGATCCATTTGTAAATAAATGCTATGAGATGACATCGTAATGGAAGTGTGTCCCTTTAAATTGATTTCCTTTTGATGTGATAAAAACATCTTCTGAAAGAGATGTTGAAACATGGCTTTTGATGGAAAGTAACATAATTTAGATTTTAAAATAGAAAACCTTTTGTTGATAGTAGTTTACTTGATTCAGCGCATGTACCAAGCTTTATTTGCGGCAGGTTATAAATTAGCTTTGAACCAACTATAATTCATAAATTGTTACTTATGACTGATTTACAGGCAATCTCATTAATTGCAATAGCAAAAAGACCTTGAAGTAAGCAAGAAATAGAAAATAAAACAACCCGGGGATTGAAAACGGGGAGACGCATATACTCTACGATTAAGAGCAATGTATCATATTTCGGTATGTTTTACTGATAGTATGTTTCTTATAATTTACTGATAGTATATTTCTGGTCATTCCAGTTCATCCTTACCACAACTTTGAATAATAAGTATTAGTGTTATTCCTATCTTATATAAGAGGAAGAAGCTCCCATCATTTTTTATTTTAAAATGTAGTAAATATTTATTACTTATTATGAGCCAGTAATTTTATCTGTATTATGTGACAGTGCTAACAAAAGCCTGTTGAGTAAGTAACTCTGTTGTTTCCCTTTTACAGATGCAGATAGTAAGCTATAGACAGGTGAAGTAACTTTCCCAATTGCAGGGTCATGGGGGTTCAAGCAGGCATATAAATTCAGTCTTCATGAGCCTTTTCTCTGACCACCGGACATGGCTGCCTTTGTTATTTCATATTTTAAAGGTATAAAGGTAGCAAATGGCAGAATAAGGACTTATCTTTTTCACTTTTGTGCTATTTCCAGTCAACCAGTTATTTTGACCTCTGTTGCCAGAGACCCTAGGATTCTAGAGAGAGTCATGGGGTGGGAGGTGGGAGGAGGGATGGAAGAGTAGGGCCCTATGACCCCAATCCTAAAAGCGTCTATCAATTAATATATTAGAGATTTTATGTGCTGTTCTTTTTTCTTTCTTTCTTTTTAAAAATTCCCACTTACCTTCAGAAGTGTGTTTTGGGGAAAGGGGAACATATGCAATGAAAATACTGAATCACATGAATGACAAATTTTCAGTGGTCATGATCACTGGCAATTTAAATAAGATTCTACTTAAAATGGAAATCTACAAGAGTTTTTAAGGTTGTGTTTAAACTTACAATGAAGGATAACTCCTAATCTAACTCAGGGTGAGAAGCCTGCCAGCCACATTGTTGTGGTATGAATAATATCAGTGGGTTCTGGAACACAGGAGCTATCCCAGTTGCCTGGTATCTAGCCCTGGGATGATGAGGGCAGAGGGATAGGGGCTCAAGTGTAAAGAGCCCTGTAAAAACTGATAAAGAAAATGGTTGGGGTACTGGCTTCATAATGGTTGATTTGAATATGAAAGGCATGCCTGTGAGCCTGTCCTTTACTATCTCTAGGAATTAGCTAGCCCTTGGAGGGGCAGTCTCTCCAGGATAAGCAAAGCTCCATATCAAAACATCAGAAAATACAGAAAATAAAAGGCATGATTAATACATTGGTACACATCACTATGCCAGTTACTGTGCTGTCAGGAGGCTAAGAGGAGACCATGAGACATGGCCACTGTCCTCAGGGAGCTCACAAACTAGTGCAGGAAACAGACCCAGGGACAAATGATCATAGTACTGAATGGTGTGAAAAGTCAACCTAGAGTTGCAAGAGCCCGGGAGAAAGGCAGCAAGTCAGTTTGCCACAGAAGGCTGGAAGAACGAGTAACAACTCAGCACCTAGTAGTCAAATTTCTTTGCTGCCATAGGGAAGGAGACCAAAACAAGCCTCTGAAGCCAGAAAGCATCTATGACTTTAAACCTCACCTTCTTGAGATTCAGGTCCTTTTCTGCAGTTCTGTGAATGTGGGTGTATATTTAAGGGCTGCTAATGGCAGATACATTTACTGAGTGAAGAATCTCTTTTTATAGGAAGAGAGCCTCTTCTCTGTCTTGTGTACTCTATGAAGATGTAGTTATTTACAAATGCTAATTAACATTGAGAATCTCAATGGGTTATACTCCTAAAGAGGAGTAGAAGGGTTATATTCCTAAAGAGGAGACAGACGGCCCTTCTCTCCTCAAGACCTTGGATGGTAGAGATGACCAAAAAGCTCCACTTGTCTCTGGAATTGACTTTTCTCTAAGGCTCACTTGGAGCAGCTTGAGGATCTTCCTAATTTTTCTCCTTGCTGCTGGTTTCTTCCAAAACTTTTCTGTCTCCCTGTTAATCTAACACTATCATTCTTAAAAACAAAGCTGATGATAGCATTTCTTTGTATAAACAGAATATGTCGCCTGTAGGATAAAACGGGGACTCTTAAGTTTGGCATAACGAACTCTTCCATCTGGACCTGATCATCCCAGCATCTTTCCCATTCTCTTCCCCAGACTTTCCGTTCTCCCACTACAGAGGAATTTTTATGATTCTTTGGTTGTACTAGCATCCTTCCTGTTTCCTTGTCTTAGCTCAGTCTGGTCCCTCTGCTCTTTTTTCTTTTCTTTATCAATTTCTTTTACAAAATCTAGATCAGATGACCCTGAAAATCTCCTGATTTACCAGCACAGATTGAGTTACTCTGACTTCAGCGCCCTCCTACCAATGTGGCTTTTGGCCTCAGAGCAATGAACATACATTGTTTTGTTTCATCTGTTTGCCTATCTGTCTTACCTTCTGAATTATAATTCCCTCAAGGATGAGGATTATATTCTTCACCTTTGTATGCTCAGTACTTAGCAAAATGTCTGGCTAAGGGAAACAACAATACAATAGTAGTAATAATAATAATATCTAATATTATTGAGTTCTTTCCATATGGAAGGCATTATTCTAAGCCCTTATGAACATTAACTAATTTTATTCTGACAGTAACACTAAGGGTTATGTAATTATGTCATTCCCATTTTGCAAGTAAGATTGAGCCATGGAGAGGATAAGTAACCTGCCCAAGGTGACACATAATAAATACTAAATTATTGTCTTAGTGCCTTTTTGAATTGGATATGGTGAGCCTCCACACTTTTTTTTCTTCCCTGGAGATTCACAGAAGAGGCACTGTTTATTGAGATGAGAAAAATGGAAGAAGTCATTACACAGGTGCCCAATCCATGATAAGCCAGTTGAGTGGGGTTTATACTGGGTAACACAAGTTTTGGAATTCCTCTTTGTGCCAGAAGAGTTGCAGGAAGTGAGTTGTTTTATTTCCTTCCCAGAAATCTACTTAAAATCAGTAAGAGTAGGGACATAATACATATATAATACAGTTATACTAAGATTTTTTCTGTGCATAAACATGTTTCATGGGGTGTGATTTAATTTGTGGTATATCTACCTATAGGTAGCAGTTGGCTCTGTTGTCATGAGTTTTTGTATATGAACATCTCTAGAAATTTATGTATATTTGTGCATGTCATTATTTCAGTGTATTTTCACAGGAACTATATGATAAGTTGCCAGTGTTTACAGCTCAGGTCACCCCCAAAGGAAAGATATTTTAACAAAATTAATTGTGAAAAATATTTTGCTTTTGCCATCATTCTTGCAGAAACTTTTTCATGGAGTTCTTGAGATCATATTCTCCTGGACCGATGAGCTGACCGTCTAAGCCCTGGTTCTGTACTTACTAACCATGTGACTGCATGCATGTTACTTCCCCTACTATTAAATTTCTTCATCTTGAAAATGGAGTCTATAACAGTTCCTTCCTCAGAGGAATGCTGTAAGGATAAGAAAGGATCAGGGCATGCAGCAATTACAAAGGGCCCCATACTCAGAAGGGCCCATGCTTGGCTTCATGCCCTACTGTAACTGATTTGAAATTCTTAATAATTTTTAACAAGACATCCCACGTTTTCATTTTGCCTTGAGCCCTGCAAGTTATGTAGCCATTCTTGGATAGGATTGTTTGTGAACTCCATAGCCTGTGGTGCCTGGCACATAGACTAATCGTCAATAAAATGCCAGCTATTAATAATTTTGCAAGGGAATTTTTAGTTTATTGGTATAGCCCCCACCCCAATTTTATTTTCTGAACTTTTCCAATCTGGTCTGGACATTGAGCCTAATTGTGGGGTACATTTCATATGTCCTCATGCATTCAGGTCAGACTTGGTTGATAAACACTACAGTAAGGCCCTCTACCTCATTCTTCCATTTCTCTGTGATTGCACATCTGATGGAATTTTGGCTGTGGATGGCTGCTAACTCAAAGTACAAAAACACTTCTCTATAAATATGAGCCACATCGCTTAATAAATGACACTACATACAGTGACTCCAGAAAGACATCTGGAGGAGATCTAATACTCTTTTTTGCTCTCATTGTATTGCAGATTATTAGAACTCCAGAAGGACCAACACCAGATAAATTATGAATGTTGAACAAGATGACCTTACATCCACAGCAGATAATGATAGGTCCTAGGTTTAACAGGGCCTTATTTGACCCCCTGCTTGTGGTGCTGCTGGCTCTTCAACTTCTTGTGGTGGCTGGTCTGGTGCGGGCTCAAACCTGCCCTTCCGTCTGCTCCTGCAGCAACCAGTTCAGCAAGGTGATTTGCGTTCGGAAAAACCTACGTGAGGTTCCAGATGGCATCTCCACCAACACCCGGCTGCTGAAACTCCATGAGAAC